TGCTACAAACTGTCCTCTCAGCACTGCTTTTGCTGCACCACAGTAAATTTTAATCTACTTCAAAATATTTTTTATGCATTTCTCTTGTGGCATCATCTTTGACCCATGTGTTATTTAACCTCCAAATATTTTGAGATTTCCCAGATGTCTCTCCACTATTGATTTCTAGCTTAATTCCATGTGGTCTGAAAATATGCTTTGTAAGATTTCTATTCTTCTGAATTTGCCAAGGTATGTTTTATGGTCCCGATCATGCTCTGTCTCGGTTAAGTCTTGCATAGGAGTGTGCAAAGGACGAGTACTCTGCTGCGGCTAGATGGAGTGTTCATTCTATCAACATTGATTAGATTCAGTTGACTGATGGTGCTATTCAGGTCAACTATGTCCCTACTGATTTTCTCCTTGCTGGATGTGACCTAGCTTAAATTCCATAGCCACTCACCGTGCTCCCTCTATTGCACCTCTCCCTTCTCTGCTTCCCAAACCACAACCGTGACTCAGTGCTGCTCTCTGCATATGCCTTGTCTATCTCCATACACATTGGCTGTGGTTAGAGAAAAACACCCACCCTTGCTGACTGGTCTCTTTTAAAATCCATGACCTCTAACCTCAAGTAGGCCTCATATGCTGCCGACTCAAAAGACTGACATTCCCAGGGACAGACCCATTCCCATGCCCCTTTCATGAATGGGTGTTTTATACCTTCCCATTTCTCCTCAAATCGCTAAGATCTCCTCTTTAATCCTTTCTCTCTACAGATGACCTCACTTCCTGTTCACTGCAAAAGTAGAAATTCCCATTGCCATATCTACAACTTGTATCTGTGCCCATATACTCTGCCTCCAGGCCTTTTACCGTGAACTGTCTGTACCAGTAGCAAATGCCATCCTGTTCACTTATGCACTGGATTCTTCTTGCTTACTCGATAGTCCAGCAATTCCCTCTTCCTCCTGCATCATCCATTTGTCCCTCTCTTTGATCTTCCTCATTAATCAGCACATAGGCTGTTTTCTTCTTAAAATGGCAGGCATTTTATTCCTTGGGGCTCTACATTTGATTTTTCCTCTTGAGGCGATGCTGTTCCCCAAGATAGCCACACACCTCTCTCCCTCTCCTTCCCATGGGCCTTACCCAAATAATATCTCTCGGGGACACCTTCTCTAGCCACTTGTCTAAAATTGCAACCCCCTGTGGTCGACATAGCCTAGGGTGACTCCCAATGAGCCATGCCCTTGTAGAATCGCTCTCCTGGTGGTTGAGGGCAGAGCCTGTTACTTGCTTCTAACAAATGGAGTGTAGCAAAGGTAATGGGGTATCGGTTCTTGATTAGGTTATAGTATATGGCACAGAGTTGGACTGTCACCCCATAATTATGTTATCTTATAGAAGACTCCATCTTAGCAGACTAGAACAAGAGCTTTTCCCTACTGGCTTGAAGAAGTCAGCTGCCACATTGTGAGAGGTCCGCTGGAACTGGGAGGCTTCAAAGATCCAAGGGCAGCCTCCTGTGGACAGCCATCGAAAAGCCGGGGCCCTCAGTCATGCAGCCATCAGGAACTGAGTCCTGGCAGCAGCCTGAATGAGCCTAGAAGAGGGTTGTTCTCCAGTTAATTCTCCACATGAGAATTCAACTCAACTGGCACCTAGATTGCAGCCCTGTGAGACCACAGAGCACCCAGACTCCTGGACGCATGGAAACTGATGTAGTATCGATGTGTTATTTCAACCTGCTAAATTTGTAGTAATTTGTTTTGCAGAAAAATAGAAAACAAACAGACTCCCAAACGTTCTCTCCTACGCTTTTCTGCTTATTCTTTGCCTTAGCACTTTTAGTCATTTAACATTTCCTATGTATGCCTTGTTTATTGTCTGTGCTTCCCCCTCTATTCTTGAACATAAGTTGTACTACGACAGGGATTTTTGTCAAGTCTTTTCCTACCATTATATCTTCAGTGGCTTGAACAATCTCAGTAAACATTTGTTGAATGAATGAATAAATGAGTGAATGCTAAGTCTTGTTACCTGTCCAGAGGAATTCATTAAGGTCACACATATCTCAGAGAGGTAAGACATGAGAGGAAAGGTACGTATTGTTTTTAACTTGTTATTATGGAAATGTTCAAGCATTTGTTCAAAGTGACAAGTTCAAGTAACAGCTTCTTACTCGTATGGCTTATTCCAGGGGTAGCTTACAAATTCTTAGAGCAGCATTCTTCAAATTTTTGACTTGACTCACATTAAAAAATACATCTCATGGGGCACCTGGTTGACTTAGTCGGTGAAGCATGCAACTCTTGATCTTGGGGTCATGAGTTCGAGCTCCACATTGGATATAGAACTTACTTAAAATCTTTAAAAAATACACCTCACAGTATGTGTCAGCACACACATTCACCCACATAAATAACTAAAACAAAATTTTCACAAAATAATACTTATCTTTATAACACGCTCTGATGGCTTCCCATTCCACTTCATTCTGTTGGAGTCCATTTTCTAAAAACTGGATAAAACCCACTGCCAGGCCCCAGAGAAACCTTCCAGGCAATTCTCTGTGAGGACCTCTGTGTTGTCAAGCACCTCCCAGGTCTGGACTGTGACAGGTTTGACACTGTTCTTCCAGGTGAGTATGGCTAGGGCACCTTGCATGCTGCCGGGGAATCAGATGCATGTGACTTAGCGGAGAGGAGAGCTGGGGGACAGGGCTGGCATGTTCTTGTGTAACTGAAGATGCCTGTGTCCACGCTGAGAGTGACCACCCTCTGCGTGCAGCTGAGCCACAGGCGCCACGGGCTGACACCACCGTCATGTGGGTCTGAGCGCTCATTCATTTCAAAGACTCTGCAACATCTGAACAACCAGTACAACTAGTCTTTAATCATGGTCATGTCTCGGATGTCTAAATGGTCCCTGAGTCCCTGGCATTTGGTACTTGAGTTCCTGATTGTAAAGTGGTTTTTAAAAGTCACTAAAACATTAGCCATCTTCCACGGTTCCAAATGGCATAACTCGAGAAGCTAATGAAAAATTACGGCAAAGCACTTTTCATATAGCATGAACTAATCAGTGCGCCCAGAAAAGCCGATGTTGTTGAAGTGCCATTAAGTTATGGCATAAAATGCCACCTGCAGGTAAATCTGGGTCTAATTTGCCTTTTTGCAAGTAGCTTTTTATTTATTTGAATGTGAAATGAATCTCCAGCATGGGTGGATGATAAAGATGCTGCCCCTTCAAGACTGGTTTGATTTTAAACGTATTTGTTCTTTTGTTTAAGCATGTGGTTCCAGGGAAATTTTTTAAATCCTTTCTTAATTAGCTAAGCAGGGCATCAAGAAGGAAGAAAATGCCTGCCACCTTACTCCCTAGCTGCCCCTGCCCCCACCACTCTGCTGGAGGGTTTAGGGTGCCCGGGTGAGAAGTGTGGGGGTGGGGGGACCAGGAGACAAGGATCGCACAGAGATGGAGAGTAAATGAAGATCATCTAGAATCCCTCACCTTTCCTGTGGGCTTTGCCCTGTTTACCGTGATTCCTTGCCTAGGGTCAGGTGGCCTCATCTCCCTTCACTTTTGTTTCCATTAAAGCATCCCTGCCGTGTTGCTCAGTCCTGTGGGATAATATTAAATTTAATGGATTTCTCTAAGGTAACACATTCTATCACCATGCGAAAGCAACAGCCACGATCACAATGTAGGAAAACCTACGGAACAAATGACCCAATTTTTCTACCATATGAATACCATGGGGCCGGTACGGGTAGGAGGATAAAGGTGTGTTGAGAAGAGAGGAAGAGGGGTCGTTACAAAATAAGAGCGATAAGGGACATTATAAACCAGGTTCAATTTTGTCTCAAAGTAGACATGAGAGTATAATGAATTTCTGATTGCCCATCACCCAGCTTTAACATTCATCAATATTTTGCTGTTCTTGCTTCAGTGGTGCGCTTTGTTTGTTTTGTGAAGGATTTTAAGACAAAACCCAGAGTTCATATTATTTCAGCCATAAGTACTTCAGTGTGCAAATTTTGAGCCTTTAAAGAGGTCTCTGTTGGAAGTACCCCATGACTCTCAATGAGGGTTTGCTCTAAGAACATTATTGACATTTATAAAAACACATTGTTCCACACAAACCCTCAGGATAAAAATCCTTCTGGACTTAGCTTAGGAGAAACTCCACAATTTCTCACCAGAACCTGAAAATTCAGTACATGATCAAAGTTTTCTTTATATGAAACATGCTAGGAAGCTTAGAGACAAATCTCAGCCAATCATGGCATAATCTCTACATTCTGTAAATATGAAATTTTGCATTAATGTCATTTCCAGCTCTGATAGGTCCCTCTCCTTGCTCTTCATTTCTCTTTCTCACCTGCTTCAAATCTGGGTTACCTTACTGTATTTGTATATCCCTGTTAGCAGAAGTGTGCCTGTGAATGCTTCACAACTGGTTCTCTGAAAAAAAAATTCACATATAAACATAAATTTCTTACAAACTTCTGCAATAATTGTCCCACCCATAAGCAAAGAATAGTAAAATACACAATATTCATTACTGTAAATTCCATGCAGCCAAATGATTCTCGTAGAATGCTTTTGTGATTTTTGTCAAACTCTTTATCTATAGCTAACCTATGGTTGCAATCAATCATGAATAGTTCAAACATGAATGTTGGCTGATATTTTTACTTATATTTACATGGGGGTGGTGAATAACCTATGGTTAAAATCAATCAAGAATAGTTCAAACTGTAGGAAAAGATGTGTAGTATGGACACCATTCTGTAGCATTTTTATCATGCAGGTACCACATAAATAACCTCAACAGTATAAGGAACGGTGAAACAGGATTAGAAGGTGATGAATTTGAGTATTTATTACTTTTATTTTTAATATAATTATTGAATTATAAGTTTCTAGACTTTAGTTTTCAATAATGGCTGTTCAAATACAACTTACAAGATTCCTAGAAATTTAACAATAAATTTCTCATAAGCCAACACAAGATGACTCCAGCACACTACCGTCTGTAAGCCAGCTAAAATAATTTTGGAACTAGGTGGGTATGAAAAATGAATAGAGCAACATGCTTGTCGCGATTCATCTTATGGCAGGATTACAGATTTTTTTCCAAAGATTGATTATTTATTTATTTATTTATTTATTTATTTATTTATTTATTTCACAGAGAGAGAGAGGCAGAGACACAGGCAGAGGGAGAAGCAGGCTCTATGTAGGCAGCCCGATGTGGGACTCGATCCCGGGTCTCCAGGATCAGGCCCTGGGCTGAAGGCAGATGCTAAACTGCTGAGCCACCGGAGCTGCCCTTGGATTACAGATTGCTATTATAAAATTCTTCTGTGAGAATACTAGGTCCTGGGTTAATAATAACAAACATACTTTTTAAAGTATTGCCAAATTATTTGTCATAACCAAGACATGGAAACTATCTAAGTGTCGAATCTAAGTGACAAATGGATAAAAAGTGATATATTTATTATATATATTTATTTATATGTAATATATAGAATGTTATTCAGCCATAGAAAAGAAGGAAATTTTGCCATTTGCAATAACATGGGTGGACCTAGAAGGCATTAAGTCAGGTATGGGTGACGGGCACTGAGGGGGACACTTGACGGGATGAGCACTGGGTGTTATTCTGTATGTTGGTAAATTGAACACCAATAAAAATTAATTTATTAAAAAAAAAAGACTTCTCTTGCTCATCGCGTGGAGCGCTCCTTCCCCACCTGTGGCGGCCCTGCTCCCCTTGGCCCTGCCCACTGTGGCCCTGCTCCCCCCGGCCCTGCTCCCCTCGGCCCTGCTCCCCCCGGCCCTGCCCACTGTGGCCCTGCTCCCCCCGGCCCTGCTCCCCTCGGCCCTGCTGCCCCCGGCCCTGCCCACTGTGGCCCTGCTCCCCGCGGCCCTGCTCCCCGCGGCCCTGCTCCCCCCGGCCCTGCCCACTGTGGCCCTGCTCCCCACGGCCCTGCTCCCCAAGGCCCTGCCCACTGTGGCCCTGCTCCCCGTGGCCCTGCTCCCCGTGGCCCTGCCCACTGTGGCCCTGCTCCCCACGGCCCTGCTCTCCAAGGCCCTGCTCCCCTTGGCCCTGCCCACTGTGGCCCTGCTCCCCACGGCCCTGCTCCCCGCGGCCCTGCTCCCCCCGGCCCTGCCCACTGTGGCCCTGCTCCCCACGGCCCTGCTCCCCGTGGCCCTACTCCCCGCGGGCCTGCTCCCCGCGGCCCTGCTCCCCGCGGCCCTGCCCACTGTGGCCCTGCTCCCCACGGCCCTGCTCCCCAAGGCCCTGCCCACTGTGGCCCTGCTACCCACGGTCCTGCTCCCCAAGGCCCTGCTCCCCCCGGCCCTGCCCACTGTGGCCCTGCTCCCCACGGCCCTGCTCCCCAAGGCCCTGCTCCCCCGGCCCTGCCCACTGTGGCCCTGCTCCCCACGGCCCTGCTCCCCGCGGCCCTGCTCCCCGCGGCCCTGCCCACTGTGGCCCTGCTCCCCACGGCCCTGCTCTCCAAGGCCCTGCTCCCCTGGCCCTGCCCACTGTGGCCCTGCTCCCCACGGCCCTGCTCCCGCGGCCCTGCTCCCCGCGGCCCTGCCCACTGTGGCCCTGCTCCCCGCGGCCCTGCTCCCCTTGGCCCTGCCCACTGTGGCCCCGCTCCCCAAGGCCCTGCTCCCCCGGCCCTGCTCCCCTCGGCCCTGCTGCCCCCGGCCCTGCCCACCGTGGCCCTGCTCCCCACGGCCCTGCTCCCCAAGGCCCTGCTCCCCCCGGCCCTGCCCACTGTGGCCCTGCTCCCCAAGGCCCTGCTCCCCACGGCCCTGCTCCCCGTGGCCCTACTCCCCGCGGGCCTGCTCCCCGCGGCCCTGCTGCCCCCGGCCCTGCCCACTGTGGCCCTGCTCCCCAAGGCCCTGCTCCCCCGGCCCTGCTCCCCCCGCCCTGCTCCCGAGGCCCTTCTCCCCACCGCCCTTCTCCCCGGGGCCCTGCTCCCCGCGGCCCTTCTCCCCACCACCCTTCTCCCCGCGGCCCACCCCCCCCCCGCGCCTGGCAGGACAACCTGAGGCTCCTCCGGGTGCCCTGCATTCCGCCCCAGCCCTCGGAGGGCGCCCAGGTGTCCTTCCTTTCAGGCCTCTGTGGCCCCCATCCAGGCGCGGCAAGCACCCTCCCGGCCGTCTCCCACTGCCTCCGGAACCCAGCAGCGCGTGCGCAGGTGCTCAGGTGAATCGGAGCATGACCCGGTGCCCACGCTCTGCCACTGCAAACCCGCGCCCGAGCCATTGGGCCCTCACAGGATCCCGGACCCCTCTGAGAATCGAACCCCGTGCAGCATCTCAGAGCTCCAGGTTTCGTGTATTCGTTTTCTATTGTCCTCTTCCTCCCCACGCATCAGTGACCGGCAAGGGTACTGCTGCTTGAATGGTTGAGCGCGCACAGCAGGAACCTCTATAGCACAGGAGGCACCGGCACAAACGTGCTCACCTGTCCCTAGAAGGCTGGTCTCTTTCCTAGTCGCCTTTCCTCTCCTTAGGGACTGTAAACATTTAAAAAAAGAACGAATTAAAGTGGTGCCCGGTTGGTAGCACTACATAATGCCTGAGCCAAGCAAGCACAATTCTCTGAAAAGACGAATTACCTACAATCAAACAGGATGGGGGTGGGGGGAACAACCCAATACAGAAGGAAATAAATCAACCTGAGTGGGAGTCAGGAGTAACAATACAGGAGAGATTTGCATCCTGAAGAACCTCAGATACCAGAAACAAAATTACAACACATGAGATGTTTAAAGGAAAGGATGGAATCAGAAAAGGATGGAGAACAGAGAACCAGGAAGATTTGAAAATGATTCCTAGAAGTTTAGAAAAGAAAAACAGCATGAAAAAGAAAAACAAGGGGAAAAAAATAAAGATAAAAACAAGGGGTGTCTGGGTGGCTCAACCAGTAAAGCGAGAGCACCTGCCTTGGGTTCAGGCCTTGGTCTAGGGCTCCTGGGATCCAGGCCTGCCTGGGGCTCCCAGCTCAGCAGGGACTCGGCTTGTCCTGCTCCCTCTGCTCTTTTCATGGTCTCTCTCTCTCTCTCTCTCTCTCTCAAATAATTTAATAAAACCTTAAAAAAAAAAAGAAAGATAGCAACTACAAACAAGAGTGGGTTAAACCGAAAATTAGATACACTAACCAAAGCAGCTGCAAACTGGAAGACAGATCCAAAGAAATTATTCCAACTTAAGCACACAGAATCACGGAAGCAAAACCTGAAAATGAAAAGAAAGAATAAGCAGGTTTAACAAATGTCCAGTTTGGAAGGAACGAGTGGAGGAAGTGTGAAGACGTAGCAGCTGAGAGTTTTAAACATTCATGGGAGGGCAGCCCGGGTGGCCCAGCGGGTTAGCGCTGCCTGCAGCCCAGGGCCTGATCCTGGGGCCCCCAGGATCAAGTCCCACGTCAGGCTCCCTGCATGGAGCCTGCTTCTCCCTCTGCCTGTGTCTCTGCCTCTCTCTCTCTCATGAATAAATATATAAAATATTAAAATAAACATTCATGGGACATACTACGCAGATCAACAAGAGCAAATCCCGGGGAGCGGGTGCAGTTGCTAGCACGGTCACAGGGCTGAGCCCCAGGCCGCAGAGCAGCCCACGACTGGGTGATGGGCCTGCAAGTCCGAGCCCGCCCCCGAGCCTTGGCTCCACGGGGAGGCCCACAGCGAGTGGCGGTCTCTGCCAAGACACAGGAACTGTCAACCCAGGGCCATGGGTCCAGCAAAGTGTCTTTTGGGAAGACAGGAGAAGTAACCAAACCCAGAGAGTTTACCACCAACAGGAGCTGCACTCAAAGAAGCGGATATGTCAGAAAAAGAGGCAAGTCTGAGGAAGGACTGGGAGTCAAGAAATTGGTAAACCTGGAAGCAAAATAAATGCTAGCAGCATGAAATAATAGCACTATCTAATCCTTTAGGGTTAAGAAGCCCTCAACCATAGCTTGGAAGTAAGGAGAGGGCGACCTGAGGGAAAGAGGTTCCCTCTCCTTATAGTGAAAGGAAAGGAAGTGATGACTAAGTAGTACTTGATCAGTTAAGTACACATGTGAAAGTGTTGAGGAGGAATGAGAGAGGGAAAGAGAGAGAGACGGAGAGGGTATGGCTTCCCAGCCAGTAAGAGCGAGAACTGAAATAAGAGAAAAGCAAACAAAGAAACAAAGGCAATCCATTCCCAAAAAGGTCAGAAAGATGAAGAAAAAGAGCTGCACATGTCAATGGTGACATTTAAGATGGTCCCCAGAAAGCAGGGACTGATTGTAGCATCTGAAAGAGGGGTCCTTTCCCCGCTGGTGCGCACCTGCCCTTCGGCCCCACCTCGAGCCAGGCTGTCTCCGAGCTCGGTAGCCTGGTGGCAGGTAGTGGGCAGGGTGCCCAAGCCCCAGACACCCCTTCTCAGAGGAGAGGGGGGCTCGGCCCTTTGGCTCTAAATCCATAGCCGGTCAGGATGTCCCGGGCAACTGTGGCTCAGTGGGACTCCTCATCCCCCAGCTGCCTTCCTGGAGGCTTTGGTGGTGGCCCAGTGACAGGAAATGTCTGTGGTCGCCTAGGGCTCCTGCAGGATAATTGTGTGAAGTGGATGGGCCTGGACAGAGTCAAGCGGCCTGAGTGCGAATCCCTGTGCACCCCTCGTGACTGTGTAAACTCAGGACATGGGTGTCACCTCTGCATTGACTGTCGTGGTCTGTACCAATGACAAGGTTGAACCAGACAATCGGCCAGGTCCTTTATAGCTCTAATATCCCTTGATTGTGCTCCTCGTCAAATATGCATCAGATCCATTCCGGTGCAAGCTTCGTTTCCTGATAATGTTGAGCTCTGCTCTGTGTGCACAGCCCTGACAGCTTGCTGCTTACACAACATGTTCATTTGCCCACAAAACACAACAGCAATATTCTCTCTCAGAGCCTCGTATTCATTTATTGCCTTTCTTAATATCACTTTTCTAGGACCTCAAGTGTGAAGATCCTAAAAAAAAAGAAAAAAGGAAAGGAAAATAAACTTCAGTGACTCTACTCCTCTCTGACGTATCTCCTTTTGCCTTTTCTTGTGTATTCAGGTGCATCACCTGTTGGGTTGGCTCAGATCTTAAGTCCTCCACTCCGGGGACCTAATGGACCTTTATCTGCCTGAATACAGAAGCCAAGTCCTACTGACAGTGCACTATTAAGAGTTCCTAATGACCTTTCAGTAGCTAAATTAAATGGTCATTGTCCACCATGATGCTACTTGATTTAAGTGATGCTTTTGATGTGATTAATCACAGAGTATTGCTTCACTAACTGTCCTCATTAAACTTTCAAGGTTCTGGACTCCAGTCTCTGGTGTGTTTAATCCTATCCACACCTTCCCCTCAGACAGGTTTAGTGCCCATCATTCTCATGCAGAGGGCACCCCAAAGCCTAACACTCCCAGTTATTCTCCTTACTTATTACCTCTCACACTTAAGGTTAGCCACCTGTTTCACAAGAACAACAGTTGAGAAATGAAGCAGCCTCCTCCTTGACTGCCCACTCAACCCCCTCCAGCCCTCTTCCTCGGATGGGCATGTTGTGTTCAGATGGATGGCCCAGGTGCCTCAACAGTCAGAGTCTGAGACTCTCCCCGCCCCCTCCCCCTCCCCCCACTATCCTGGTTTCTTCTCCAGACCTGCGAGAACATCCTCTCTCCTCTGAGGTCTTGCGGGTGTTCACAGAATTCACACCCCAGTCTGACAGCTAGCACCTCGTGCATTCTCAGGCAAACCACTCATATGCTATGCACCCAGGGCCATGAGAACAACCCTCGCCCCTTGACATTACTGTGCCAGGCCCATTTCATACTTGTAATACCAAGAGGTTTGCTATTCAGCTGGTTGACACCAGTAAGTCCTAATGAGTGATCTATGACCTACATCCATTCTCACTGGTCTGTGCCTGTGCCTGTGCCACACCAACTGAGAAATGTATCACCTGTGCCCTGGAGATAGATGCTACTCTCAGTCTATAAATGAGGAGACTGAAGTTCTGAGTTGCGTGGGAACAGGGGTAGGCACGAGGCATCCATTCTGCTGGTGTGGATCATGACAGAAATGAGGTGGTACTGGAGCCAGAGGGGTGCAGTAACTACCTGGTCATGGACAAGACAATAGTCTTCGGTAGCCCCGTTCCATTATGTGGTCTGGAAAGTTGCTCCTAGAAGCTTGACCTGGAGCTTATTTCTTCCAATTCTCCTAATTCTATAAAGTACTTCCCTTAATAAATGTGCATAAAGTAATTCTGATGGATTCTGTTTTCTGCAAAGAAGAACCCTAGCTGGTATACCTGTTTCTGGTGTCAGAACTAAATTACAATCCAGCATTAAAGGGCCGGCAAAGAAGATGGTGGGAAGTATACTAGTAGCAGGATAAGGGGAAAATGAGGCAATCACAGAGGGCACCTCAGGTTTCCTTCTATCAATATCTGGAAAATAAATAACAGATCATAAAGTATTTTGAAGGCATTAGGGGAAAGAGAGAGCCATGGTTACGAGAGTATTACTATTCTCTACTACACTGTGTATATTCCTACGTTAGGATGAATTACCTCCTTGCTATAGTTGAGAACATCATTCCTATGCTCCCTTGAGAAGAGCACATTGTCTGATGCAACTGGTGTCTAGAAACTCTGTCTCGTCCTCTTTAGGATTCCCCCAATGTCTAGAACGACAGTGGCTACAGTGTGGTCAGCACTTAATAAATATTTGTGAAGAAAGAAGAAAGAAAGAAAAAGAAAGAAGAAAGAAAGAAAGAAAGAAAGAAAGAAAGAAAGAAAGAAAGAAAGAAAGAAAAGAAAGGAAGGAAGGAAGGAAGAGAGAGAGAGAGAAAGAAAGAAAGAAAGAAAGAAAGAAAGAAAGAAAGAAAAGAAGAAGGAAGAGAGAGAGAGAGGAAAGAAAGAAAGAAAGAAAGGAAGAGAAGGAAAGAAAGAAAGAAAGAAAGAAGAAAGAAAGAAAGAAAGAAAGAAAGAAAGAAAGAAAGAAAGAAAGAAAGAAGAAAGAAAGAATCCACACACAGAGCAGTTAGTCAGTGCTGCAGAAATGGATGATGCATATGGCTATCTCCCATAAACTCATAGAGAGTCCTGGTGGAGAAACATGTTTTCATCCTAGGAGAAAGTTTAAAAAGAAAAAAATAATAACTAAGCAATAACTGAGCAATTTAAAAAAAAGCAATAACTAAGCCCTGAATGAGGGCCAGAAGTGGGAAGGAAGTCCACCTGGGAAGGTCAGTAGACAGCAAGCAGTGGAGAAGATGGACAGAGTAGGGAGGGATGTTTTCAAAATGTGGTCCTCAGATATCTTGCACCACAATTAACTGGAAACTTATTTACTATTCAGATTCCTGGGCCCCACGCAAGACACACAG